GCAGCTAGCCCCCAGAACTAGAGAGCCCATGACAAAGAGGTGCTATCCAGGTGAAGTCAGGCGGTGAAAAGGAGAGGGAGGGGACCACAGGGAATGACTTTGAGCACAGCCATGTTGTTTCCTTTTGCTGGAGGGCCTCTGAGGGCTGCAAGTGGAAAGGGCAGAGATGAAAGGCAGCTCTAGCTAAGGCTGACAAGTTGCTGAAGTGTCTGAAGCAAGGCCTTTCTGTAGGAAGGGCTAAACGCAGCAGTGTAAGGAATGGCAGCTGCTTCCATCACTACAGGCAAGGTACTGCTCTCTGGGGAGTGTGTAACCAGGGCAGCAGCAACGGAAAAATGCCTAAAGGATTAGACTCTGGAGCCTGCAGCCCAAGAGGTAGCACATGATGGGGCTCTGCCTTCTTCCCTCAGAGCCTGTCTTCTGCCCCATCACATAATAGCCCTTATCTTTCTAAAAAGGGATTCCAAACGAGGATAGGTCTCCCTCCAGTGTGAGAATCCACTACCCACACCCAGTGGCCCAAACGACGCCACCTTTCAGAGGCACATGTTGCTAGGTATTAGGGAAAGCCTGTCTGAGGGTATCAGCAATCTAGTTTGTCTGTCTAGGGCATACAAATGGTGAAAACTGAAGTCCTGCCCAATGTGGTCCAGTTCAACTTGGAATAGAAAACTGCATCATGCTGAGTGGTGGTGGCGCACACTTATAATCCCAGCTCTTGGGAGGCAGAGACAAGTGTATCTCTGTGAGTTTGAGGCCAGCCTAGTCTACAAAGCAAGTTCCAGGACAGTCAGGGCTGTTACACAGAGAGAAAAAGATTCATGTCTTCATTCATCCTGCCATGCCATGTTGTCCAAGTGCTGGACCTGAGGCAAGTCCCAGTGTCCCTTATTTGTATCTTCTTGAAATGGCAGTTATAGATTTTGGAACATCATATAACCCTGAGTGCAAGCGCTATGAGAAAAAGAAGTGAGGAAGAATGAGGTGAGGAGCAGGTCAGGGAAGAGTTGACTCTGGGAACCCATCTTATTACAGGTGATCAGAACTAAATGGTGTTAGTCCAGCTCACTGCCCTCAAGAACCCTTGGCTCCAAGAAGAAGGATGGCTAGCCCAGGGTCCACCTCCCACTACCCCATATTTCCCAGGCAGAAGCAGGGTGGGTTTCTTCTCCCACCAACTCTGTCACCTGCTCAGAGGCACTTATGCTCCTGGTGTAGTCACCCGGGCTCACCCACGGCTCAGAATGCCCAAGTGGAGGAGGATGAAAATTCAGGCTTCTAAATTCGAAAGCCAGCAGAACTGCTGATGGCACCATCACTCTGCCGTCAGCCTCCAAGAGCCTCTTCATACATCCTGCCTCTAGGAATAGAACCCTTGACAAAAGCAATGACATCAGGCCAAGGAGTGTCACACTTGTCAAGTGAAACACGGCAGCTGAGTGAGAGACCCCCACTATACTTCAGTGTGAATCTAGATGACTCACATCCTGTGCTCTCTCCTTTAAGACAGTTCCTCCAGCCTCCTGAGGCCTCCTGTTAGAGGCAGTTCACCTTTGGGTGGCTTTGTGTCTTCAGTCTTCTCTCACCCTTATACAGGTCTTCTTTGCCCCTTAACAGAATGTTCCCTCACTTTCAAACTTCTTGACTCCAGCACCTCCAAATAGGTAAACTTAAGACTTCTTTTTGCAATATTAACTATCTGCATGCATTTCCTCTTCTTACAATGCCCTGTGTTTGCCCTAAGTAAAGAGCACATTCACTCCTGGTGTTCTGTGAACCCTTCTGTCTGTGCCTACAGGCAGCCCTGGCCAGGAGTCTCTAGCACACCACTAGCAAGGTCTCTGCTTCAACTTGCCTACCAGCAGCTGCATTTGGACCTTTCCCAGCGCAGAGCACAGAATCTCTGGTTCTATCTAGTCTTTGAATTTCAGTAGAAGCAAGTACATCCCCTACTCCACTCTTTTGTTATTCCCTCATGCTCAGATAGATAATCAATAACTAGTTAGTGACACTGTGCACATGCCAATTAAATAAACTGCTTGATCAACAATTGCCAGAATCAGAAATTCTTAGGAGTCCCTACAGATTTTTTAAGTCTTTCCACTTGAGAAACAGATAATCTCTCTCTCTCTCTCTCTCTCTCTCTCTCTCTCTCTCTCTCTCCCTCCCTCCCTCCCTCCTTTAGTTAAGATCCATGCTGCCCTGTCATCTGGAGGGACCCTCAACAGCTTGGCACCATACAAAGCTCAGAATAGAAGCAGCCTTTCAACTTTCAAACATTCATATTCTTTTTTTTGTTTTTGTTTTTTGAGATAGGGTTTCTCTGTAGCTTTTGGAGCCTGTCCTGGAACTAGCCCTTGTAGACCAGGCTGGCCTCAAACTCAGAGATCCACCTGCCTCTGCCTCCCGAGTGCTGGGATTAAAGGCATGCACCACCTCCTCACGACTCAAACATTTATATCCTATTTAAAGCATCAGTTTCGGTTATAAACTAAAGTAGTCCCTGAGCCTCCTACCAAAACTACAGAACGTTCTGAGTGCCTCTACGGGATGTGCTGGCTGACCTGTGACATCTTATGCTGTTTAGTACTAGCCCAGCACAAATACGTGAGAATCAAGTTTTCAATCACATACCCCATTCACTTAAAATCCACAAAGGACAGGAGACCAGGCATGTGCCTTCCATGGTGCTGCTCACTCTGTGGAAACTATCAGGTGTTCTCTAGCAACCCCTGTACTCCAGAGACCAAACACAGGTGTCAGTGTAACAGTTATCATCTCTCTCATAAATGGTGCAAACGGAAACCCTCCTCAGTGCCTGTCACAGAGTTGCACTGAAGAGGAAGGCTTTTATCCTTAAATCATTGCCATCTTTGAAACGTATGACCTGGGAACCCTCCTAGAGAAGAGCAGTTCCATCCCTGAAAAAGGGACATCCTTAACTAACCCCACAACCTCATCTGCAAACTAACAGGGAGGCTGACAGAGCATGGAATCTCAAGCCCTGAAACAAAGTGATCTAGGCCCTTGGGTGACTCTTACAAGGAACACTGTTCTGAGCCAGGTGATAGGGATGAGAGGGCTGGAACCAAAGCCCTGGGAGGAACTAAGTCACAGAAAACAGTTGCTCCCAGAGCTCCTTCCCTTCTCTGCAGGTGACAAAAAAGGCAGAAATGGCATCTGACAGTGGTGAGGCACACCTGTAATCCGAGAGTTTGGGAGGTAGAGGCAGGAGAATAGCAGTTCAAGGCCATCCTTGGCTACACAGAACTTCAGGTCAGTCTAGGCTACCTGACACTCCCCCTCAAAAACAAACAAAGCAAAGGGGCACTGAAATGTGCTTGGTAGGTAAAGTATAGTCTGAGTTTGATTCCTAGAATCTACATGAAAGTGTAAAGACACAACCTACTCACAAAGTTGTTCTCTGACCTCTACATACATGCTATGGCATGCACATGTCCACACACCCACATTATGCACACACATACAATAATAAGTAAAGCAATAAAAAGTAAAACACAAATCAAAATAAAATAACAACAAAAAGAGGCACAGACAATTAGTACCCTGGTAGCCCCAGCCCTGAGGGGAGCACTCTGTACTTTGTGGGAGGGGCCCTCACTATCTTGGCAGAGTCCTATAGTCCTGCATAACTCAGCTCATGTTTCTCACAAGCATGGACACTCTTCCACAAGCACACAGGTATTCTCCAGCTCGCAGTTTACGGCAGTCAGCCTCATCTCCTACCCCGTCAGAATCCTTCTGAAGGACAACCAGCAATGACTCTCTTTGCACCTTCCTTTAGCAGTCAGCAATACTAAAAACTGACATTTTTTTTTTGCAAGTATCAGAAGTATCCATGGACCTGGATACACAAACTGGATGGGTTGCTATTTGAATTTGGAACACAGGCTTGCATTTGTTGACATACAACTTACTATTTAAATATGTGAGCTAAAGCTAGGTATGGTGGTGCAAGCTTGTAATCCTAGCATTTAAGAAATAGAGGCAGGAGGATTAAATGTTTAAGGCCAGCCTTGGTTATATATTGAGTGTGACGTTATATGACACTCTGTCTCAAAACAAAAGTAAACTAACTTCTAACATCCTAATTCAAAAGATGAGCATACACAGGGTCCTCGTTGTCTGGCAAAACTGAACAGAGATAAGAAATTGAATGCAGATAAGAAATAGAGATGAAACATGACGTTCCTGAGAAAGGGGCATATTCATTCTAGCTTATGTGGTACCCAGTGGAACAGACACTGGAGAGACCCTACCTACATTCACCTCTGAGCTCACCTGTAGCTACTACGGCCAGTCATAGCTTCCCACTGCCAGGGCCTGCATCTTTTTGCCTCTCTACTTTTCTTTTCTTTTCTTTTTTTCCTAGACAGGGTTTCTCCATAGCTTTTGGTTCCTGTCTTGGAACTAGCTCTTGTAGACCAGGCTGGCCTCAAACTCACAGAGATTTGCCTGTGTCTGCCTCCCGAGTGCTGGGATTAAAGGCGTGCGCCACCACCGCCCAGCTACATTTACTTCTTCTTTTTTTTTTTTTTAAAGATTTATTTATTTATTATGGATACAACATTCTGCCTCCACATATTCCCGCACGACAGAGGAGGGCGCCAGATCTCATTACAGATGGTTGTGAGCCACCATGTGGTTGCTGGGAATTGAACTCAGGACCTCTGGAAGAGCAGCCAGGGCTCTTAACTGCTGAGCCATCTCTCCAGCCCCTACATTTACTTCTTTCCTGCATCACTTTCTCCTGTCTTTACTGAACCACCTCCCACATAAGCTTTCTGCTCCCAGGTCCTCATCTCAAGACTTACATTTAGGAGAAACCAAACGAAGGCACTTTGCTAGTCTTCGTCGTTTCTACACTGTCTGCCTGGTCCCCATGATCTACCCTCAAAGCAGATCCCTCTGACCAGGAGTTAATACCGTCCCAGGGGGGCCTCTCTAACACTCCTGGAACAGAAGCAAGACAAACTCACCTCCCCCAAATAACTGTATTTGCCCCTGAGGATCTGCCGGTAAAGCCGGGTGCGGTTGTCATCCTCAAAGGGCATGGTACCACTGAGCAGGATGTAGGCAATGACACCCAGTGCCCACATATCCACAGAATTGGTGTAGGGTTTTCGAACCAGGACCTCAGGAGCAATGTATTCAGGTGTGCCACAGGTGGTCTTCATCAGGCAATCATCACCTTTCTTTCGGGCACTGGCCAAACCAAAGTCAGTGATAATGATTTTGGAGTCAGTGCCTGGGTGGTAGTAGAGGAGATTCTCAGGCTTGAGGTCTCGGTGTGTGATGCCCAGGGCATGCAGATATCGGACACCATCCAGTACCATTTGCAGCACTCTTGTGGCATCCCGCTCAGTGAAAGAACCTTTGGCAATAATCCGGTCAAAGAGTTCACCACCAGTGGCCAGTTCCATCACCATGTATACACGCTCCTGTGTCTCAAACACTTCCACCAGCTGAATGATGTTGGCATGGCGCACCCGGCGCAGCACTCGCAGCTCGGACTCACACACCTCCCGTCCTTCTCGGTACTTGGTCTCGATCATCTTGATAGCATATGGCTGTCGGGTTGCCCGGTGCTCCACTCGTACCACTCGGCTAAAGCTGCCTCGGCCAATCAGGGCCTTGATGTCATACTTAGCTGTCACACGTGGGTCAAACTTGGCCCTGTACTTCGCCACCTTGACCCTGCGTGGTGGTTCTGAAGGAGGTTCTGTGTGGCCAGTAGTGGGAACACCAGGGCATGGAGGTGCATACTGACTGGCAGCTTTCAGTGGGCCAACACTGTCTACCTCTGTGATGAAGTGCTTGTACACATCAGTCTTAGTGCCACTAAAGGGCTCCACTTTCTTGACCAGATCCAGCTGGACATCCTTGGGTGGCTCAGGAAGGACCTTGCTTGTCCCACAGCCCATCACGGACACGGGGGCATCCTCCCCAGCGAGGCTGGCAGGACCTGCTCTGTAGGCAGTGCCCCGTCTACACCTATGCAAACAGAAGAGAGGGTTAGTCAGTATAGTCAGGGATACCCCTGAAGGACAACAGTCATTCTCCCTCTTCCTGTCGCCTTGATAAATGTAGTCTAGTTAAGAATGAAGTCAGATATGGTGGTGCATATCTGTAATTCTAGATTCTGGAGGCAGAAGTAGGAATACAATGCAAGTTTAAGGCCAGTCTGGTCTACAAAGCAATTTTTCTGGGCCATCCAACTTTACAGAACGAGACTCTGTCTCTAAACAAACTGATACAATTGACTGACACAACACCCTGCAAAGGGTGTGGTTGACATCTGAAGAAGTTAAGAATAGGGAATGGAAAGATGGCTCAGCAGTTTAAGAACACTGGTTGTGGTGGTAGCACACACCTTTAATCCCAGCACTTGGGAGGCAGAGACAGACAGATCTCTGTGAGTACGAAGCCAGCCTGGTCTACCAAGTGAGTTCCAGGACAGCTCCAAAGTTATAAAGAAACCCTGTCACAAAAAAAACAAAAAACAAAAAAACAAAAAAGAACACTGGTTGCTTTTCCAGAGGATCCAAGTTCAATTCTCAGCACTCATACTGAGAACATACTCACAATTGTTTGTAACCCCAGTTCCAGGAGATCTGATGTCTTCTTCTAGCCTCTAGTGGCACCAGGCACACACATGGTACATAGACATACATATAGACAAAACACCCACACACATAAAAATTTTAAATAAAATGAAAATAAAGAGACATCAGACAGAGTACAGAAGCCAGGCATAGTAGCAACTCACACTTGTGATTTCAAATTTTAGGAGGTTGAGGCATACCAGGCTGTTACACAGTGACTTCTGAGACAGAGTAGGGTTACAGAGACCCTGTCTCAAAACAAAACAAAGACAACTCAGACCACAATCTCAGGGGAGGGTCTAGGAAAAAGACCAGGGCTGATCTCTATGGCCTTGGCTTACATTTCTCTGGATCGCAGTCTCATGCTGTTCTTCAAGCCTAACAGAGGGCAAGACAGTTCACCAGGCACAGCTGCCGGGTCCTTTATTTCCTCTTTAGTCTTCCTGACCCTCCTCATCTTTCTGACTCATCTCTTCTGAAACAGGGATGTAGAGTGTTGGAGACCTCCTCCAGCAGCAGCATCCATAAAAACTCAGAAAGTTGTATCTCCAGGTCTCCATGGAGAGCTTCCTAACCGTTCTCTTCTTACAGAGGTGGACCCCTACAACAGCAAAACTACCTTGAGTCTGTCCTTACTTCACCTTCCTGCATGGTTTCTACAGCCTTCCTTGTGTACAGTCTTCTCTTTGGCAGCTATCCTGCTCCACAGTCTCATATTTGCCCAGTTTCCACAGGGCTAAAATCTAACCCAGTGAACTGGAGACCAGAAATCTTGGCACAGTGTCACTAGGTAAGCTCCAACAAATCTGTGCTCCAAGAGACTGAGGGGACTTGAGCTCAGACAGAACAGGTCTGATGGTGACTGGACATCAGAGTACCTGCTCACCCCCACACCACCTTTTTGAGTCAGGGCTAACCTGGAACTCACTATGTAGACCTGACTAGTTCAAACGCACAGCGATCCTCCTCCCTCTGCCTTTTGAGTGGCCCTACACATGTAGAAGTGCTAATGCTTTGCAGAGGGCATCAACTTTTTCTCTACACTGACCCTCTAAGGGCCCATGGATTGGAGCCAGCTGGGAACTGTCTATTAATTATGATATACAGAAGAGCTGGTAGTAAAATGACCAAGGGAAACATTTATCAAACACCTATAGGATACAGGCAGGAATAAAGGATAAAGGCATGTTCCAATATATGTCTTTTTAGATTTTTGTTTTTAATTATGGGAGAGGGATTTGCACATAAGTGCAGATGCCAGAAAGGGTTGTTAGATGCCCTGGAGCTGGAGTTACAGGTGATTGTGAACCATCTGATGTGAGTGCTGGGAACTCAACTCAGGTCCTTTGCAAATGTAATATGTGCTCTTAGCAGAGCCATCTCTTGAGTCCCTATTGTTTCCTTTTAAAACACAAAAATACAAGACATGATCAATAAATATTAAATTTAAGTGAAAGAGAAAAAGCATTAGAATATATTTTTTATAGAAATTGGTTAAGATTAGGTTGAGAAAGGGTCTTTCTATGTGGCCCTGGCTAACCTGGAGCTCTTTTCCCCTTTTTTGAGATAAAGGATCTTATGTGACACAGGCTGGCCTTGAGCTCAATATATAGACCAATGCTGGAAGTACAAGCATGTTCCACCATGCCCAGCAAAGCGGTGGATTTCAATAGAGCATAGTGTTTAGCTTGAGAAATAATAGTGGCATATATAGAGTGACATGGTGTTAGGAAAGCAAGAATTAATCAAGTAACGGCGTATGTTGTCTCAAACCAGTAATCTTAACCTTCAGCGAACTGGGAAGAGGACTGCTAAAAGTTCAAAGCCAACCTGGGCTACAGTGTGAGCCCTCACTTCATGGAGAGCAGAGAGGGGTTGAGGTATAACTCAATGGCACAGTATTTTTCTAGCATGCACAAAGCCCTGGGTTTGATTCTCAAAATTGTCCCCAAGAAAGAGTTAAGTCAGCAAAGGAAGAAGATTCAAATAGAAAGAGTAACATACTTCAAGGCCCAGAAGCCCAGAGTATGCCTGGGAATGGGCACTAGAGTGACAGAAAGCTGAGCATGATGTTGTGGAAGATTAGCAGAAACCAGGTTATAGTGAGGACCAGGCCTTCTTGAGAAGTGATGGAGAATTACCAGATAGTTTATAAAGAAAAAGTTAATCTCATCTTTGCTTAGAAAGAAGTGTAAGGTTAGTCTAAACAATGGTCTAAGTGGTCTAAATGGGCCAGTCACAGTGTGGTGTCCCCATATGGTGAGATGGAATTAAAGAAATGAATGAGCAGTACAATAGCCAGGAACTAGAGTAGTGACTCTCAATTTGGGGATCATGACCCCTTGGGGTCGAACAACCACTTTGCATGGGTTGCATAATAGATATCCTGCATATAAGATACTTACATTACCATTCATAACAGTAGCAAAATTACAGGTATGAAATAGCAATGAAAATAATTTTATAGCTGGGCGATGATAGTGAACACCTTTAATCTCAACATTTGGGAGACAGAGGCAAGTGGATCTCTGTGAGTTTGAGGCCAACCTGGTCTACACAGCAAGTTCCAGGACAGCCAGGGATACACAGAAAAACCCTGTCTCAAAAAACAAACAAACAAACATAATTTTATGGTTGGGGTCACAACATGGTTTGTTTGTTTGTTTTGGGTTTTTTGTCTGCTTGTTTTTCAAGACAGGGTTTCTCTTTGTATCTCTGGCAGTCCTGGAACTCTCTTTGTAGACACTGAACTCACAGAACTTCGCCTGCCTCTGTCTTTCCAGTGCTGGAATTAAAGGTGTGCGCCACCACCACACAGCTGACAGCTCAGTTTTGGAACTGCCTGTGTGACATTTACTGTGATCACTGGATACAGAATTTGATCTCAAAAGAGCTGGCTGGGGTGTCCAAGAGTCGTGCAATATGTATAGTAAGGCACATATAAGGTCAGGACCAAGACGTACATGTCCTCACCAGCTAGTGAAATTAGAAACTAATCCAATCAAAGGCAGTGGGAAACCCAGGCATCTTTCACTGTGGCAATCTGAGGGTCACAGAAAACTCACAGAGGCCCTCAAATTATAATGAGTTGGGGCTTGAACTCAAGATGGGGAAGCTAGGCCTAACACCCCACTGAATAAGGGGTTGAGGGTATAGTTCTGAAGCAGAACACTTACTTGCCTAGCAGGCATGAGGCTCTGAGCTGATCCCCAACATGGTAAAAAACAAAAACGCTGGTGAAATGACTCAGTTGGCAAACTGTTTACCATGTAAGCAAGAGGACCTGAACCGGGCAGTGGTGGCGCACGCCTTTAATCCCAGCACTTAGGAGGTAGAGGCAGGCGGATCTCTGTGAGTTCGAGGCCAGTCAGCCTGGTCTACAGAGTGAGTTCCAGGACAGGCTCCAAAGCTAAAAGCTACAGAGAAACCCTGTCTCAAAAAACAAAAAAAACAAAAAAAGAGGACCTGAGTTGGAGCTCCAGACACCTATCCTTGAACAAATGAACAAACAAAAGAGTCAGGCATGCTATTCTGGACCTAGAATCCCAGTGCTGGGGAGGTGGTGACAGGAAGATTCCTGAGGCTTGCTCACTAACTAGCTGAAATGTTGAACTTCAGATTTACAGAGGAGGCTCAGTAGCTAAGGGAGCTTGCCACCAAACCTGAGAACCTGAGTTTGATTCCTGAAACCAACAGGGTAGAAGAAGAAAACTGACTCTCAAATTGTCTGCTGCCGGGCACAGTGGTGCATGCTTTTAATCCTAGCACGGCAGAGGCAGAGGCAGAGGCAGAGGCAGAGGCAGAGGCAGAGGCAGAGGCAGAGGCAGAGGCAGAGGCAGAGGCAGAGGCAGAGGCAGAGGCAGAGG